GCCGCCGAGGGCGCCAAGAGCGCGGAACCGCCTCCTGAGCAGCCGCCGCCGCCGCCGCCCGCGCCCCCCAAGAAGCTGCTGTCGCCCGAGGAACCGGCGGTGAGCGAGCTGGAGTCCGTCAAGGAGAACAACTGTGCTTCCAACTGCCACCTGGACGGGGAGGCGGCCAAAAAGCTGATGGGGGAGGAGGCCCTGGCGGGGGGCGACAAGTCAGACCCGAACCTTAATAACCCCGCGGACGAGGACCACGCCTATGCTCTGCGGATGCTGCCCAAGACCGGCTGCGTGATCCAGCCTGTGCCAAAACCCGCCGAGAAGACTGCCATGGCGCCCTGCATCATCTCCTCGCCCATGCTCAGCGCCGGGCCCGAGGACCTGGAGCCGCCACTCAAAAGGAGGTGCCTCCGAATTAGAAATCAGAATAAGTAAAAGGTTTGTATGTCCATCTGGGCGCCCCTCCACAAGAGCAATGCACCTCGCCTTACTTCTTGCAAGGCAGAGGCAGAGCTGCACTCATAATCGTGATTTTGCCTTACGTGTTTTACAGCACACCTTGTGTGGTCACCTGCTATCAACATTTTGATCCAACAGCTATGATACTGAGCAGTTGTTTAGTAGCATCATTCCCATTTTACAGCTGAGGAAATTGAGACACAGTGTGTAAGTGCCATGCCCAAGGTTATCTACTTCAGGGTAAAGCCCAGTCTTAAGCCTAAATTGAAACACTATCTCCTTAACTACACTTTATTTTATTATTATGCTCATCTCTGTAATCCACCCTATTGGAGAAGCGGAGGATGTGGGGAGGAAGGAGAGATTATGTGAGATACCTAAATGTTGTGGCAAGGTTGCAGGGCAGTGGTAAAAGATCCAGCGAACCCATGAGCTGGGCCACCTCCAAAAGCTGGTAGCCTCACTGGCAGAATTGCTCAACTCACCAAAGTTTCTTGATAACCATGGGATTCCATTTGTAAGATGGGAGTAAATACTAGCCTTCTTACATGCATATGCCAACTGAACACAGGCACTAAGCCCCCTTTGCCTGGCAGGGTGTTGGAGCAATGGCTCCCAGGTCCTGGTTGTGGGTCTCTTCCTTCAGCTTGGCACCAACCAGCATTCCCCAAGGCATGCTTCAAGCATCACTGACCGGCTTTGCTTTCTCCCCCTTTGAGGTCTCAGCCACCCAGCTGCGGGCTTGCTCACCTCTTGCAGACGTGAAAGGCTTTGATAGGGACAAGGGCAGCAGTGCTGAAGTGAGGGGATATCTCTGACCTCATGGGAGAATTCTCCTTAATGCCAAGTGAGCCACTGTTCGTGAGACCTGAGTTTCAGGGGCAGGAGAGGCAACTACCACGTGTGCCCACTATAGCCGGATGTGGTCTCATTTGCTCCTCCCACCAATCCTGGTAGAACAGGCATTGTGTGCATCTTACCAAGGAGGAAGATGAGGCTTAGAGACCTTGCCCAAATCAGAGCTGGTAAGTGGGGTACCAGTATTCAACTCAGGTGTGTTGTACCCAGATCTCCAGCTCTTCCCTCTGCCCAAGTGGGCAGCAGCAGGCCAAAATTCAGTTGAGTTTATCAACTGTTTATGGAGAGGAAGAGAGACAAGATGAGCATTTATTGAGTACCTAACTTGTGCACTGCTCCTTCCAGGGACTGGGGACATACAAAGGGGAATATGATGCTGTTCCTGTGCTTGCTCTCCAGGCACTTACCATCTGGTGGGGATATAAACCCAGGGAGGAAGGAGGCCTGGGGTAGGAGAGGTGGACCTCACAGGAAGAATGCTTGTTCTCTTCTAAGTGTTTTTCAGTAGTGTTTCTTCAGATCTGGATTTATAGGACAATTATTGTTTTCATTTTACTGATGAGAAAATTGATACAGAGAAGTTCAGTAACTTGCGTAAGAGTACCAAGTTAGTAAGCAGAGCTGAGATTCAAATACAGGCTATCTGATTCCAGAGCTAAATTTTCTTTAAAACACTGTAGGATAGTAGGCTAATGATAGTTCCTTTATTACCCTATTTACTAAAATTCTTTTATCCACCTCAGTTGTCTTGGGAGAAGTTCCTAAGAACTAAAAACAAAAACAAAAACGCAAGCCTATCTATCAACTTCTCTAACTCTTCAGACAGTATTTAATTCTTGTTTTTCCAACAACAACACCAACAAAACTACATTACCAACCCCATTACCCCACAGTGGGAAATATAAGTGTAGAGCATGACACTTGATGTGGTGTTTCCAGCCCATCATGTCTAAGTTGGCATATCTACCTAGGCACCTGACTTCTGGCCCGAAGTTTGCTTGGGAAGCACATCCCAGAGCAAGGAGACTTGCTGGGTGGTGCAAGAAGGGTTTGTCAGCCCCCATAGTTGGCAGTCTCCTTTTCCACTGTTGGCTTTGCCAGTAGGAGCAGAATATTAAAAGCGAGTTCACCATTCCTTGATTTTACATCTGCAAGTTCTGCTGTCTGAAGACAGATGGCCTCAGCCTTCTTGCAGCCACCTCAATTGAAAATGCCCCTGATTTCTTCACGAGACTAATTTAATCTAGTTGACAAAGCTGTGAACAATGGGAAGTTGTGCAAAAAAAAAAAAAAGCGACAGCCTTCAGAAAGTCAGAAAACATTGGGAATTGTCATTTTAAACTCATTCTAATACGACTCATTCAAATGATATTAAAGGAAGAATGAGAGGGTGAAAAATTTTACTGCCATTACTGGGGTGGGAAGTGACCAGATCAAAAACTAGTAATGCTAGCCTATAAGTAGCTACGAGACCAAAAGAATATAAAAATATAAAATACATGCTGGCTATTTGGATGATATATGTTTCTGAGTAAAGAATCAGGCAAGGGTCTTGTATGTGCCCCAGAATCATTACTAAAAATATTAACCTGGCTTCAGCCAATTTCAGATGATACAGTGATGAAATTGCCCAGTACCTCTTGAGATTGGAAAGTTCTTTTTATGATAGGTCCCCCAAGAAATTACAGCTTTTCCCTAAAGTCAGAAATACTCATGCTTTGTCTGCCACAGAGGGATGACAGGCAAGTGATTTAAGATGGGGGAAGAACTACTTCTCCTCCACTAAATCACATTTCCTCTTGCCCTCAGTAGTTCCTTGTCACCTCATAGCAGTCTCCACCTGCCATAATTCACTCACATGCTCTGGCCCTTCCTGATTTTCTGTGCACATGTGGTGCTGTTTTTCTTTCACACCTTTGGAAAGCTAGCCCATTCATATGGTTGGGAAAATTGGAAATGCATCCATTAAATAAAGGACTGAATGGCTTTTGTGCCTTGATGGTGAACACTGGTAACCAGTTAAAGCCAAAGTGGAAAGCATTAAAAACCAAAAGCAAAACTCAGGCTGAGATGTGGTAGGTGAGGTGCAGGTGAGTGATTTCTCCATGTGCTTGTTGGTGATTGATTATATTATTTCTCATAGGAGCATCTGTCAGTAACTCCAGTAAGCATTCTTCATTCTCACTATGCCTACCTTTGTCCTACTGTATTACTATTTAAAAATATTATTTAAAGTATCTCCAAAGCAGACTGTATCTTGAAATCAGCAACCCAGGTAGATACAATTTTCTTCAAAGAAGTCATCATATTTGCTAGGTCTTTCAAATTATAATTTTTTCCCCTCATTTGGAAGTTATTCTCTTCCTGGTTACCTAACTTTATGCATTCTTGTTTGTTGATATGATTACAAATGATTTCAATGGGAGGATATTTTTCCCAGATGCAGAACTAATTAAGTTTAGTTGACAATTTTAAAAGGTTGTAAACTCCCTTTAATCTTCAACTTTGAAGACTCCAAATACCAGTTCTGCAGCTTCTGTAAGCTGGAAAAAAATCCCCCCAAATAATAAGGAAAACAATGTGTAAACATTTTTCAAACTGTTCTTTCCACAAAGAATTCCATTTATAAATGGGATACTCCTGTCTTTGTCTTTGCCTGGGTGCTTGGGGGGATAGCTGTTTATATTTGGACATTTTCTAAATTTCTACAGTTTACACTTGTTTATAGTACATTTGGGAGTTCAGAATAATCATTTGCAAATGTTTGAATATTTTCAAAAGAAAATATTGCTTCTCCTCAATTTTCTGGGGAAATGACATTCTCTTTAAGTAAAATAACAAATGGAAAAAATGTGTACCAGGAGTAACCCCTTTACCCTCACTTTTTCCATTCTCGAGGAGCAACAGGTCTGTACAACCTTCCCACCTTTGTGGCTCCCAAATTTCTTATATGTTTCTAAAACCAGAAAGACAATGTGAGACTCTTTTCCTTGGCCACAATTTCACAATGCTACTCCAGGCTCAGCAGCGGGGATTCGACCTTTTATTCTGTCAGGGAAAGCTGGAGGAGGCGCCTGTAGTTTTGGCTTCTTGGAGTTTAATTATTAGTCTGGTCATGGATCCACAATCCCAGAAACAACTGCTGCAAGACAGAGGGTTTGCCTCATTAGGGAAGCCAAAAGGGAGGGGGTGACAAGTAACTTTTTGCTAATTAATTTCTCAGACTGAGAAGTTCAAGAGAGGAGGCTGCCTGGGAGGAGGTTGGGAAGTAAGTCCATACATTCAAAGCAATACTATAGGTGCCTACTTTTAAATCAAGGAAAAGAAGGAACATAGAGCGACAAGAAGAAATAAGTACAAATGGCATGTGCTCAGATCCTATGCCAGACTTGAGCTAGCTAATGTTCCAGTATTTGATTATTGGAAGTGTTAATTAGTGACAATCCCTAAGTTAAAGGTTAGCCTGCTTGTCAGGATGCAGTTGGCTGTGTAGCTCTAGATAGAGGTACTTCAAAGAGCCAGTGAAGCCACCAGGTCTGTGTCATGCACACATGTGAGCCGTGAGGACCGGGAGAGTGCTTGCTGTTGTTATTTCAGACTTGCAGAGGAAAGCTTTCTGGAATGAACAGTGTCAAGACTAGCCTTTGACGTGTCCCATTCATTGCTGCTGAGTCCATGTTAACCCTAATGCCAAGAGGCTTGAAGGAAGGGTATTAATGTGTAAGCATCTTACTTTTAGATATTATTTCAATCAGATTATGATGGAATATGAAATGTGATATCCACCAGGTATTTATTACTTTTGGATGTAGCCATAATCTTCCCCCTTCAGCAGGGCTGGGACTGGGGTGAGGCAAGCTAAGTGCTTGGTGCACAGACTCTCAAGAGGGACTCACTCAAGTTCACACAAGTGCAGCACTAGTCCTGGTCCTGGTCTCCAAACCTTCTGATCCATGTGGCAGCCTCATAAAACTGGTCTCCTGCCCCCTGCACTAGTCCCTGAATGACCTTCAGCTACTCCCCCTGAAATTTTGTGGCAAGTTTTATGTACCTGTACACAGAGGCATTTTCTTGGGTTCTACATCTCTGAAGGATTATCTTCCATTCTTACCAAGGAACAT